CATTTTAAGATTTATTAGCAATGGTTTAATGATCGAGTTTACTCCTAGTCTATCACTGTTACAGCCAAAAGTTATCTCGTGTTTCTCAATGAGTCAAATGAATGAGAAATTAATTTTTAGATAAAGAACTCTCAATGTAAAGATGCCCTTGTTCATTGTATTGATAATTTAGAGCAACTTTATATTTTACCAATTATAATATTATCGTGGTTTACAATTAACTTGCTTAAATACTTTATCGAGTCACAGTGGCTAGGGTAAAAGTACCATGATCATATTTGTCATAAGAGTATTTGCCATGATGAGTTTGGTTCTCTATTTAGAACTTTATTAATTATATTGACAATAAGCTAGGTAGATTTAGTAAATGAAGCAAGGGAACACATTTAGAATAAATAAATAAGCAAATGATTGGAGTATTGAAGTCAATATTAGACTATGACTGCAGTGACTGGTCGGACATCTATTGACTGTCAATGCTATTAAAGAGATTGCATAACACTATACCTTATGAACTGAATAATTATCTGTAATACAGTAATACACAGTTATGAATATATTAAAGTTATTTAGTAATGAATAAAAGTTGTGCTTATTTTTCAACCTAACTTTTCCATCAATTTATGGCAATTCTTAATACAGTAAAACTAATATTTCATCACATCTCCAATAAAGCTCTCTCTCTCTCTCTCTCTCTCAAAAAGGAGAGACAGTATATATTAAGTGACAAAATGCTAATCAAATGTATTGTATAATAGATTACGAAATAATGGGTCGAAATGAGAGTGTTATGAAAGCAATGAGAAATATTTGTGAGTTAGTCGTGGGATGGGATCCGTGCCATAAAGTGATGCCTTTCCATAAGTACACGATGTATGTGAATGTATGTGAATGCGAGGGACAGGGATGGGGACAGAGATGTGTGTGTTGAGCGCACGCGCGGTTGTGCTGTTTTGTCGCATTGAAAGACACTGAATGCCATCCAAAGCCATATACAGATTGATTGAGATTCACATGCATTGCAACCAATGATCACACGCTCTCTCACTCTCTCTCATTACAGTCACTCTCTCTCTCTCTCTCTCCCCCTCTCTCTCTCGGTGTCTCTCTCTACGAGTGTCTCAATACAACTAAACCTTCAATCGTTGCAATCATTTGTGTGAAAATTAATTGTGTATTCATTTGAATGGTTTGATCGCAGATATGATTGACGCGAAAATGAGTGAACATTTGAGGCATTAGTTTGTGATTCAACTCAAAGCCGATTATCCATTGATGAGTGAATCAATCCATTCAATCAATCGGTAATATATTGTTATTTATATATTGTTTTCACTATTATTGACATTAGGTTTGTATGAATGAATGAAACAAATATTAATATAACATATAATACACGGTATTGTCATTGGCTTTGAACGCAAACATCCAAACAAACCGTTGTTTTCTATTGACTTACATTTCATACCAAACACTGTATTAGACATCAAATCTGATTAACTGTATATTCATTGCTAAATATGTCAATCATATGACAGTAGTTATGAAATGCATGTAAACTACAATTTGTATAATAATTAAAATAATATTAAATTTATTGTATTTTAGATAAACCGCTGAAGAGTTGAGTGGAGGGGACGAGAGAGTAGACCATTGGATGTGTGGTTGGATTCATTGGATTCACTACTTCTTGGAGACTTAGTGTTCACTGAAGTGGTTGTGAATGCCATGGATTTGTAAATTATCATTGTTTTCAACATACGTTTACTCGGCATAAAAGGTATTATTAAATAAATACTTGTGATTAGATTTTAGAGCAAATAATTGTCAGCAAAATGTTACTCAACTTTTTTTTCACTCAATTTGTGGTTATTTTTAACATTTTTTGGTTACAAACTATTTGTGAGAAATTTGATTATTTTTATCGCCTCTCAGAGGACTATAAGCGCTGAAAATATGCAAAGAATTTGATTTGAAAACTATTTAATGAATTGTTAACCCGTTTTTGTGTCTAAAGTTTAGACTCAAAACCCCTAGAAAACTGATTTATTAAAAACCAAAATATTTTCTCAATACTTATTCACATACTAATCGTTTGCCGGAATTTTTGGTTATTTTTTTGTGGCAATAATTTGCTGGATTCATGTGTTCATACATTTAATTAGAGACCAGAAACTGGTTTTCCTACTAATGTTTTAATGAATTATTTATTATTGTTTCACAAATATTATATAAATGCCATTACTTAATATACAAGAATTTTGCCCAACTCTTACATATTAAGGCTTTTTAAAAATGTTTCAAAGAGTTATACAGTAATGTTTTTATTAATTTAAAAAGCTTTAAAAACCTTAAGTTTATTTTATGCGATAAACTGTGTACTTAAACACTCATTTGATTAAAATCTATAAATTGTGTACATTTTTTGCCATTTAATGTGAACTTGGATTTAGTTTTGATATATTTTTTACATCATTATATGTCTTTTTTATTAGTTTTTGAAATACTACTTTATTACTTATTAATTAAGTTTTGACAGAAATGTAGGCATTTATTAATGGCAACTAAATTTAAATATTTAATGCTTTCATAACATCGTCTCACAGATCGTCGGATCAGAGGAGTTGTTGTGAAATCAAATGATGTATAAAATTATATGAATTATATTTATATTGATGTGAAATCTTTTTTAATTTCTTATGTGTTAGTAATATATTCGTCTCAAACAGTGATTTGACTTTTAAAATATTTTGAGAAACACTTTAAAGACTAGTAAATATGGAGTCTATCGCAGTAACAGTCATTAAATACTTTTACATATTAAATCACTTATAGATACCTCCATATAATTATTGTTTCAAATCTATCATTGCATTAATTACACAAATATTTTGATAATAGAGTATTAGTTATCAATACATGTGAAGAGAATTTATTTAATCACTGTTTGGTTACTGAAGAGAATAACTGTTTTTTAGTTGTAACGTGTTTTTCACTACAAATTAAATGTATTTTATTTGACTATTTTATGAATTGGACTACAATTAAATGGGAGTTTATACGAGTTTAAACAAACAGATACAATCAAAAATGTTTGAATAAATGGTACATTTGTTTACTTAAATACACAATAAATCTCGGAATTGTGACAATTATTGTTTGAACTTTGATTTTAAAAATTACAAAATTATATATTAATTGTTTTGTATAAAATGTATATAAGGAAACAAAATAATTATTTTTATATCTAATCTGCATAGAAATAATAAATTTTAAAGTAAAGGAAAACTTAGTCTTCAAATAATCAAACAAATTGTTATATAAATAGCATTCAATTGAAAGTATAGTGGTTTTAAAGTACTTTCAAATATTGGGAACAATTGAGTCTAAGAATTTAATGTTTAAAGTATCTGGTTATCCAATCAATATGTTACTGGTTTTGAGCAATATTTCAACAAATACTGTACCATTATATATTTGTCTCATGAGTTGGTGTGTATTTGAGTTTTTCATTTTTTTTATCGTCATTACGTGAATCCATTGCAAACACTTTTGTTAGAAGTCTTGTCATCGATGGCAGTATTATTTGAATTTTATTTTAAAGTGATTTCTTATCGCATGTAGTATTCAATTGAAGTTTGCTGTGAGATAAGAGCCCACTTTATTTACTGTTTTTCTGTCCTACTATTACACTTACAGATAATGTGTTATAAATTGAAACCATATTTTTAAACACTTTTCCATTGAATATTACTCTATGACATAGAGTCTATGTATATTACACAGTATTTAAACAGCTATTTATGATAATATAATTAAAGTAATAATAATAATATTGTATTATGATTATTATTTTTGTCGTATATTTATATCACTTTAACTGTTTAATTGAGATAACATGTATTGTATGGTACCGTAAGGACTACACAAATGTCTCATTTGTGGTAAAAAATATTTTTATTATTACGTCTTCTCTGATATCTGTGAATATTTTTGCTTTTAAACTTTCTGTACACCTATTAATATCAAGTGTTATTTTATAATATAAAATTTTATATCATATAATATTTGGCTTCGGTTTATCAATTTTTAAACGTTAAAAGATTTTACAAAACCTATGAAAATGAAATTAAAACTTCGGAATATATTAATTTTTGCTAAATATTTCTGTTTTGTTGATAAATATCATAAAACTTAAAACATTATGCAATTCATTTCATTTACTGTTTTTCTGTCCTACTATTACACTTCTTACAGATAATGTGCTATAAATTGAAACCATATTTTTAAACACTTTTCCATTGAATATTACTCTATGACATAGAGTCTATGTATATTACACAGTATTTAAACAGCTATTTATGATAATATAATTAAAGTAATAATAATAATATTATAATATTTGGCTTCGGTTTATCAATTTTTAAACGTTAAAAAATTTTACAAAACCTATGAAAATGAAATTAAAACTTCGGAATATATTAATTTTTGCTAAATATTTCTGTTTTGTTGATAAATATCATAAAACTTAAAACATTATGCAATTCATTTCAAACACAATTTATATAAATATATTTTTGTCATATTTATTAATTAAAAGTTTTCACAATTAATGAGTGGCCTATTATTATAGACATGATATGCCAGTCATTGGGATCTTTTTTGAACAATTTTTATAGTTTTATTTGAAATGAGGTTTTGTTGTAATAACTGGATAATAATGTCTTGTTTTTAGCATTTCTGCTATTTATATAAATTGTGTGTACTGTATACATTTTATTGAATATTTTTTGGTCACATTTGTGCGCCAATTAAATGTATCGGATTTTATAGAAATTAATATAATTATCTCGTAATGAAAGGGAGTAATAATTGATTAATATATGTATAAAAATCAATTCATAGTCCGTTTGTATGCAATTCATAATAAATGTTGTATTCATTGGTTATTTGCAGACAATTGAAGGCCACAACTAATTAATCGATTGATCGCCAGAACAATGCCAGTGCTGTCGACCACCACATACTACTCGGGCTACCCCTCCAACTCGTCGCTATCACGCAATGGGTCGTCCACCAGCTCTACCTTCTCGTCGCTCCGACCGTATTCGGCCTCAAGTCTCAGTCAAAAGAGTCTTTCCTCAGTCAAGAGTAGATCCTCTTACGACCTGACGGCATACCGGCCCTCAAACTATTTAAGCACTCACTCGACGTCCACATCGTATAAGTCACCCTCCAGTCTGCTCTCAACCAATACCTCAACTTATAGTTCGAGTCGCTATTCGACTGGTATTTCGGGTGAGTTATCTGTTTTCCCTAAATCCTCATCTCATTTATTTATTACGGTGTCTACCGTTTAGTTTTTCACACTTAAAGGTTTTACAGTTTTGATTAATATTTTTTTAAAACTTTAATTTATTTAATAGGTAATTAATTTTAAAATAATTATTTTCCTGGGTTATTCATTGATGTTTAAATATACAGTATCCTACATATAATTTAATTAGTTATTTATAGTCCATGTTGAGACTAAAGCTAGTAATTAAGTATAATTGGTGTTATATTAATGATTGACTCAATTGATATTAAACTATATTATAATTGTACAATATTTAGATAATTGCAGTAATTTGTTTGATAGAAACTAATTTCATATTGTACTTGATATCAGAGACAGCAAAACAGGAATAGCCATACTATACATACAGTACTGTACAGTGCTTTCATTTACAATACATTATTCACTTAATGTGTCAATCATTAAGTGATTTAAGTGTTTATCGAAGTTATCAAATACAACTTATATGACAACTTTGATTCCTACAAACTTATTAATAAAAATAATAATTATCAATGACTTTATGGTTGTATTGTTGAATACAATGCCAAAGTTATACAGTAATTTGAATATAAATAAAATTTGTGTTTTAATAAAAATTTTTATATTGATTATAACAACTTGGAAAATGTTTAGACTTATTTTCTATTAAATTAGAGAAGTATTTATTCAAATTTCTTAACTTAACCTAAATATTAGTGTCAAATTGAATGTTATACTGAATTTTAAATGAATGCATAGTACAGTACTGTACAGTATAGTGAATTTGATATTACAGCTGAGTTTATGAATAAGTTATATTCAATTGTGTTTGTCATTATAATTTTTGCTGAATATAATTAGATTTATTTATCATTTAGTTTAAGAAAGGGTCGGTTTTATGGTTAAATAAATACCTTTAAATTTATGGCTAAAGTTATAAATGATTCACTTATTTTTAAATAAACACAAAACCCGTAAATAGATAATTGCTCTCAAAAACCCGATTCCTATTTATGTGAATTTACATTCAATTTTGAGAATATTTAGAAAATAAAAGTCATTTTTGTGCTACAATACAGTACATGGACTTTAGATTAGATTGAAAACAATATTTATTAAATATAACACATCTTGTGATTGCATATCAGCCCAATATAGTGGTATGGATTCGATCCACAAATCATTTGATAAAAATAAAACTTTTTTAGATAATAAAACTCTTTTGATACGAATTAGTAGTTGAATTAAAGAAATTATATAAAATACAGTATATTATACGAAAATTGTACGCAAATGGCTTTTGCAATGAGGAAAATCCATTTGACTTAAACTTATCATCCGATATTACTTTTCCATTGTTTTTGGCTAAATAGACGTCAATATATGTTTTCCTCATTTGTCTAACATTAGTAACAATAAAGTCGACCCAACATTACTTGAGAATAACCGTTAATAAAGTCTCGGATCTTTATCGCAAGTGTTAGTGGACATGATTTTAACACCTATTTTCCTGACAGGACTTTCATCGTCGCCCTCATCGGTCACACTCACCCGTTATAATCAAAGGCGATCGAGTCTGGACTACACGGAACCAGACATCCCCTCCAAGGTATATACCATTTAGAAATACATAATAGCTATTAAAGCATTGTTTAGTTGTCATTGAGATTATAAAAAAATAATATTCTATAAATTATTCTTGATAGTTTATTTAGAGTTTGTTTGCTTTAAATTATGTCATTATTAAGATTTTTAATGCAAAATTGTATTATAATATTGATACAGAATTTGTTTATACAGTATCCATTATATCCAATGATGTTTCATTAAACCATTTAATTTTATTTTTTGCATCAATGAATCCATTGGTTCGCAGAATAGTACGAGTGATTGAAATGAGTATTGAGTGATACATTAAAACCTTTATCCTTCCTATCCTTGAATTGATGGTTCAGTTGACTAATACTTATCTGAAGAGTACATAAGTTTGTTATAAAAAACTGATTAATTTCTTTATTAGAAATCAATTAGTTTTGATACACTACTGCTCTATATTTAGACAATTAACTAATTATTTGCTAATATTATTGACCCAAATTCTTACGACAAATCATTTGTGAATCTCAACCAAAAAAGTGAATGATTTTGTAGTTTTCGAGATGAAAGTCAACCTAATTCTGAACAGTCAGTCGATTGCGACAAATAGTAGTTTCAAGATTGGCTTTATTTTTGTTTACTCTTGTTTTCATCCTATAGTGAACTCAAGGTTTACACTTTTGAGACCATATTTTTATTATCTTCTTTTGTGTTTCACTTGAAGTTCACAAGTGAACTCATGAAGTTAAAACCGTGTTTAACACAAATAATATGTATCTAAAAATATCGAGACATACGTTGTGTTGTTTGAACGTACAAAAATAAAAACCGATTTTAATTGGAGTTGAATTTCGAATTTAAATAAAGTAATTTTAACCTCTTTTGGCAACTCATATAGTCTTAAATACTAGTGTTATCTTCACTTATTTGAGAAAACCATTAATTTTTATACTGTATTTAATAATAACAAACACTGTATTTTAAGTTTTTACGCAAAATGTGTTTTTATGCGTCAATTCTTTGTATTTTCCATTTCTTTATATAATCTCACACTAAGACTGAATACAAACAAAAAACTAATTTATTATTAGTTTTTTATAACACTGAATACAGTATTGTAAGTGTGTTATTATTCATATGATAATTATATTGGCACTGTACTGATGTAATGGAATTTTTCGGTTATTAAGTTATTACAGAAATATATAATACAGTTTTATCAACAATACTACCAGTCTTATTTTAAATTATGTCATAAATGTTATAAAATAGTAAAAATCCTCGTGATTTTGTAAGCCAAAGATAAATTTACGTGAAAATTATCTGACTTATAGTAATTGGAGAAGTAATTTAAAGAATTTGAGTAATGTTTTTTTATTATCTGTTTATAATAACTATAATAAAGTTATATTTCATTTTACCCGCACACAGATATCTACACCAGTGGCCGGTTTAACTAATTTAGGCAATACATGTTATATGAACTCGGTACTCCAAGCACTTTTTGCCACTAAGAGTTTAAGAGATTACATTACTAATGGCTACGAGTCTTCAGGAGGAACACTGTTTTCTGGTCAGAGATTGTCTTCACATACATTGTTATTGAATAGCAATTAATACGGCTTTCGGTCAATAGGTTTGTGCCGTCTATTCAAAGAAATGTCAGCTAATGCTCGGACTGGTTATGTTAATCCCTCATCATTCAGACAAATGTTTATCAGCTATCAGCCAAAATTCAGAGGATATGAGTAATGAAATCTTAATTTAGTTAACATAAATACAATTGTTAACAAGTATAATTTCATTTAAAACCACAGTCAACACGATGCTCAAGAGTTCTTGAGATATCTGATTAACGGATTACACGATGAGGTGAACAAAGCAAAAAAGAGACCAAAGACTAAGCTCATTGAACGTGAGTTTTAATAATTGTAAACAATATACCATTAATTGATATTATTATGAAATGCACAGCAAATACATCACAAGAGGCGTGGAATCAATATAAAGGAGTTATAGACGACTCGCGTCTCATTGACTTATTTGTGGGACAGTTCTCATCAGTCATTAAGTGCACCGAATGTCATAACACCAGCAGTTGTTGGGATCCATTCTTCGACCTCTCACTACCTGTCTCTCGGTACGGGTTTGCTGTCCATTACTATCCATTACGCTATTATAGTGTTGTACTAGTGTTCAAATCACTTATGAGATCTCACATATACCGTAATACAGTATAGTACCCTAATCAGTTTTATGTTATATAAATTATACCATACTTTTGTTTTTAAAGGAATTCTCTTATCTATCAAAGCATACTAATTACAAATACTGTACAATCTATAATTATATTGATAGATACAAAACCATTAATGTTGATCATTTATGACTTAAAATTAGACATTAAACAGGTTATCAAGATAATTTTAGTTGTTGCGAAATATGTGAAAATAATATCAATTCATAACTTGTATTCTTTTGAATCAATGAATTCTTTCTATAATAATGAATGCCTGGGAAACGATAGAAATTATTCATTTTTACCATTTATGTTACAATAATTCACAATGATGATGAATAATCAAATTCTTGAATTTATTTATGGTGTAATTAACAATTAATTATAATACAGTACAATATATTATTTGAATTGCTGTAACAGTAATGATAAACGTGTGAACAATTCTCATACGCCTCTCAAATATTAACACATTTATAGAGAATAACTAAATAATCAACTATTTATATGATATTTATAACTCATTTTACGGTTAAGAATAACTTTACTCTCAGCCGATTTATAACTTTATGTAAATCATAATGACTACAGTCTTGTGAAATATTATCACAAGATCTTTATTTTATAACTTTATGGATTCTTATTGTGATTTATACTCACGTAAGCATGACTGACAGTAAAGATACCTAATGTCCTGAGCTACACTATAGCTTCTAGATTAGCTTCTTAAATGCCGAGTTCTTCATGACCTGCCGCCGGAACAACCGGTTTGTCACCACAATTGGACTTTGAAACTTTGAACTCATATTAATACCATTTTTGCAGTTTTGTTCGCGTTGTAAATGCCATCGGAGGTCAACCAAGAGATTGACTATTCAAAGATCGCCTCAAATCTTAATCCTTCGTATGTCGTGTGACCAATGTTTACAATCATTTATTGCTAACAATTTGTATTTTCAATCGTTTGGTGCAGATCTGAAAAAGTTCGCAAACGATGGCTTCAAGCTCTCGAGTCAAGACATTAGTGTGAATGCGAACATCACTATCGATGGCAAGACATACCACTTGTACGCCTGTGTCTGCCATCACGGATACTCATCGCGCAGTGGCCACTACACTGCGTACTGTCAATACGATAACAAGTGGTTTCATTTGAATGATGAGAGGTAGGTGTGATTGTCATTGAAATTGTGTTATTAATTGGTATTTAATATGTGAACGCATAGAGTGAAGGACGTGTCGGACACTTTCAATCCCACTAAACTGACCGACGCTTATGTACTCTTTTATCACAATTCGTCGTCTTATTCATCAAGACTTTAAGCACTGGTCACACAAACACTCATACAAACCAATACTAAGACTAATCTAATTATTAAATTATAATATATTCTTAATAATAATTAAAAAACGATTGCAACGAATACTAATAAAAGTAATGTTTTAAAGTGACTTCAATTTAAAACACGTTCCACAATAACAACACTTATTTTAATTACCGGTACAACAAATCATTGCTATTTTTGGCAGATTTTTGTTTCAAATATTTTAACCACAAATCAATTGAATATATTGTAATATCTAGGAAACTTTTAAATGAATTGTTCTGTTTTTATAATTTCATTTTCTCTTAAAAAAAGTAAATTGTTTTCAGTTTTTAGCCTTTTATATCATATGAGTTGCAAATTTTGGTGACATTTTAACTAATTTCAGCCAAACTTTTAGATCAATTTGTAAGAAATTTGAGCCACAATTGGATGTTATGTTAATTATCATTAATTGTATATTTAATTGCCACTAAACTTATTTTATAATGAATTGTTAAATTGCTTTTAATTTATAAACCTGTTAATTGGATTATATTTAAGTTTAGTTTTATGTTACAAAAGTTATCAACTGTTATAATACTGATTTGAAAGCAAAGTATTACTCTATAATAAACGAATTAGTTTTAAACTCATTGTGTGTTTCATTATTCAGACTAATTGTCCTCAAAATGATGTCTAACTGTAAGCCTTTTAAAGGGAAGGTATGTTAAGGTATGTTAAGGTATGTTATGTTATATCCGAGACTACCGGTAGAGTTCGCTGTGGAGGGGCTGTGAGGCTGTGCGTGTCGTACTACGACCCGGTGTGCAGCGCATGCGCACCCACTGTAGTGCTCACTGAAGGCATTGGTGACGTTGCCTGCGTTCGTACCGCTATTATCCTATAGGGTTAGCCCATTGGAGAGTCTGTGCACACAAACAGGCATTTTGACAGTTGATTGCCATTTGAATGCATTCAATGCATGCTATGTATGGCTGTGTCCTCTCAATGGCTATTTTGAGGCTCTTTTCAAATAATTAGTGTTTTTCTGATGTCAGCCATAATGTGATGAATGGACACAACAGACACCACGACCTATCACTTCCACACCATTTCGATGACCAAAATGTGATCATTTGATGACCATTTCATCGCTTATTATTTGCTTTTAATTGTGTTTTACTTTTAACTGTAATCCTATACTTAAGACACCAATTATTTTATGATTTTTAGACACTTTTTTCAATTGAATCTCATTTTTACTTAACGTATGTATTATTGACTGCAAATCTGTGCATATTTTCGCAATTCATTTGTTATTGAATTACCCATCGATTGGCAAAAGTTTTTTGTTGGTATTGTTTGCCACGAAAAGGACTTAATATTATTAACTGATAATCAAAAGGACGACAAGAAGTGGTGATAATGTGGGCAATGGATGTCAAATCAAAGCATTATACTGTAGTTAACGCTAATTTGTGGTCACTTTTAGTGATATTCATATCCATTACCATTAATCCAACTCAAGGTTTGTGTTACAAGAAGTGGTGATAATGTGGGCAATGGATGTCAAATCAAAGCATTATACTGTAGTTAACGCTAATTTGTGGTCACTTTTAGTGATATTCATATCCATTACCATTAATCCAACTCAAGGTTTGTGTCTTTCAAACAAAACATTTTTCTGTTTTTAATGTTTCTTAACTTTTATTTAATAAATAGTTATATGTTTTAAATTATAATAATCTTTAATCTCTTTTTTCCTTATACTGTATATTGTTTTCATTTAATTGTGGCTTTCATTCATGTCTTAAGCGAAACATAAGTTATATTTGTTTTGTTGAGAGAAAAGCAAATTCAAAGAAACTTCAAGTCTTTCAATGGTTTTATGATAAATAATAAATACTTTTCTGAAATTAATTAATGAATGACTAAACGTATAGAAATGTATTGACAGGAAAAAATATAAGCTTTTAATTTATAATGTCTTTTGTTTATTGACATTGAATTGAATGATAATTTGGTGACAAAAAGTGTCTCATTATTAGTTTTGTGTAATTAATGAGAAATCGATGAATGATTTATAAATATGATTGAGTCTTGTGTTGAGTCAAACATAACACAAATTAATGTTATTTAATATTTAAACACAATTTTGTGACCCATTTATCCCCTGAACCGCTATTTCTTCAATACTTCTTGAAGTCATAAAAAACTTTTTTATTTCTTTGACTCAAACTTTGCATTGAGTTTAGACTCCAAATGCATGTCTGCATTGAATTCAATGCAAATGCCATTTCAAACACAAAACCACTAAATACTTGCAAAAACTGTTATTTCTTATTAAACTTATTATATAATAGTTTTTACGATTGCTTTTAAGCCAAAAACACTTGAATTATATTTGAATTTTTGTTAAATCGTTAGACAAAACGCGTTATGCATTGACTTGTCTTACATTTTATGCCATTTTATCAAATGTTTTACTCAATAATTGCTTTTTTGGCAAAAAGACTAAAACTATTTAATCTATTTCTTATTACTTTATATCTAATTAGTGTTTTTGTGTCACTTTTTCTGCTAATTATTTGTTGCTATATTATGTTGAGTGAGTTTATTTTTAAATTGAATTAATTTAATGTTTATTATTTCTATATTTGAATTGATCGACAATAATGTCCTCAATATTATAGTTAGACTTTAATTGAAACATAAGTTTATGGATTGGTTGTGTGTCGGCGTTAACACAATAGACAATTGCTTAGCGTTTATGAGTTTGTATTATATTTGTTGCTATTATTGATTAATTGCTTTGATTCGTGAATCCAATTATGAGTGTAGTTTGAATGCAAATTATATACATTACGGGTATTTGTATTTGTATAAAAACTTATTTGTTTTGCATATGTGCTGTACTTCACGTTTTGATGCCTTCATTGCAATGCAATTAATAATTGAATGAAACATTGAATGCATTTCTTCTGAAAAGTAGTTCAAAGTTAAGAATCTGTTTGAAACTCAAAAATCTAATTATCGCTCAATTGTTTCAAACAATTCAATCATTCATTTCTGAGCCAACACTTGATTTATATCTTCCATGAGTTGTCTCTTATTATTATTATTAACTTCTTTTACAAAACTTTTCTACTCTTTCTTGTAATCCAAACACACTTTTCAACCCATTTTTTATCACATCTTATTAATTGTTTTCTATTAATTATAATTTTTAATCATATTTTTTGCGTACATTTTTCATCTCATTTTCCATCACTTTTGTAACGATAAAAAATAAATTAAAAATAGATAGAAAATAATCATTTCTATGATAAAGTGCTGCCAAAACAAAACTGGCGTTCAATAGGTACTGGGGTTTGGGTTTGGGTTTAGGACTTTAGAAAAGTTTGATAAATGAACTTCAATTAGGAATTGATGTCAAATAGTTTGAATATTAGGGAACAAAAATTTAAATTTTGTAAAATGCAAAACTCATTTTTATTATAAAAACTGTTATGCAATGAACAGACGGTTATAATGAATGGATGCGATTGTGTGGACACAACAGCCGTTGTGTTGTGTTGTGTTATAACCCAAACGTGTTTCTCATTTGTGAGACTTGTTTGCAATTAGAGGCGACCGACGGCTCAACCGTTACTATCAATAAGTGATCGAAATTATGCATTCATTTATGAATTTTTTTAATTTCTTAATAATTGCGATAAACCTTTTTTAATTTTCCAATCATTATAAAAGAGAATTTATGAAATAATATTTTTAGATAAAACATTTTTATATAGTTATTAAAAGTTGAAGCCATAAAAAGTGGCACAAAATTAAAGTTTGTTCTTTAGATGATAATTAATTTTTGCTCAATTCACGAAATTTCAATTAAATTACTGTTTTTTGAGCACATTATAATAGTTAAGTGAATTATATGATGTGTTATGGGTTTCAGTAAATATAGTTTTACATTTAATAGCTTTATAATGGTTTACAAAATAACATTATTTATCGTTAAATGACTTTCGCTGCCATTGAATCCATGAGTCCATACAAGTAATGCCCTCTAAATCATTGGCATTTCTAAATTGAATTGTTTTCCATTGAATACAATTGTATTGAATGTCAAACATAGGGTGCGATGTCTGGTCTATCGATGACATGCATTGAAGTGGTATTACATAAGTTGTTGTATAATACGAGTCGTCGATGACTAGTATATGCATTGAATAGCCATTCATTCAGTTGTTTCCATCGATGCGCTCATAATATCCGTCACTCGAGTTGATCCAAACGGGAAGTCTTTTGTTGGTGTCAGCACTTCCTCAGTCAATGTCATGACAATCATCAATGAATGTCTCTTTTGAGTCCATGTCTGTCCCCTAACCGTCGGTTACATATGTTTCCCAAATATGACTGCTTTTTGTGTTTCGAAATATTTTTAGTTTTTAGTCCCAATTCTTGATTAGATTTTTATAATTATAATTAAATTCTCGAATTAATGTCAGAGTTATATGTTTAACAAAAACTTGTTTTTCTCTTTTATTTTGTCATAATTAGAGGAAAATTATGGAAAATAAGCTAAACTTGTCTTTAAAAGAGAAATACGTTTATTATGTAAAGGCTTTTCTCACGCAATCCTCAAACAATATATTCATATCTCTTTCCTATTTAGCAGTGATTTCCAACTAATTCATAACATTTAGTCTCAAATCGTGGGCAGACATTAATTATTACATTATTTTTTCAATTAATATTTTGTCTTAATTCCTATGAAATTAACGCTTAAATCCTGATTTCACTTTTGCTTACAATTAGTCGTGAATTATTAGGAATGCGAGCTATGCTTACAAATTCAATTATAATCAACAATTGTTTGCAACACTTTTCTATCTAATTATAATTGAATTGAATATATGTATGGTTAGCATTTCACAACCATTTCATAAGTTATTCATCACTCGTATGACTCATGATTTTCTTGATATTTTGAATAATTGTATACTTGTTGTAGTGTTTTTTGTAAGATCTTAAGCTAATAGTGAATGTAAACATATTTCCGAACCATTATATCATTGCATTTGAATTCCAGTTCTCATTTCATTCAATTCAAATGCAATGCCATTGAATACATTGCATACGATTACCGCTTTAATCGATGATATATTGAACTAAAAATAGTTTCGCGTTTCAATGAAATTCATAAATATGTTTAATTTAAATATTTTTATTTTAATAGACTTTAATAACAATAATAAGCGAAAGAAAGCCTTAAGTTTGATGCATTCGTGATATCAAGTATTATACCTGTATATAAGTTTTCATGTATTTTAATGCATTGTGTGCCGAGTTTATTACCAAAACTATTTCATGACATACTTCTAACATAATAATAATATAGTTTTTTTTCAATAGGCATTTGCATCCAATGGCTATTCATTTGGGTTTTGCTTTTATAATAGTTTACATTTCTTTCAAATATGTACACAATTTGACTCATTTTAAGGCAAATTTCGTTTTAAAATATCGTGTTTTCGTCTCATTTTTGTCTCATTTTTGTAACCGGAAGAGGAATTGTCGTCTCGTTTCCAAAGAATCGCTTATTATCTCTGAATTAATTAATTATGCGATTAATTGTCGACTTTATTAGCGTTTGTCTGTTTGCAAAGTGACGACAATTAACGCACAATTGGGGTTTAAATTGACTTGAATTTTATTTTATACTTTTCTTTTTCAAAATAACACCGATTTTTGGATTACAATTAGACGCTGAGTCCAAACGCAAACATTAAATCATTTCCTGTTTTTGTTGAAAAGTTTGTTTCAAACTTATTGGAGCGCACATTAGGCTGTGTTTTAGGTGCTGTCACTCCTATAGCCAAACAAATGAAACAACTAATGAGACATTGGTTGCCACCACTGCTATCCTATCCGTATTCCCCATTCATTTCAATACACAATTTTGGATTCAAAAAATCAAATGCTTTTGCATTTCAATGAAGAGCTTATCGATGACCCACTCGTCGGTCGAGTTTATAATATACTGTATTTGTTTAATACATGAATATTTGTTTCGGGTTTACATTCAAATACATTCAGTTATTTGATGGATATCTAGAGCTCATGTATTTTTTGTTGCCCTTTTATTATTTTTGTTTTAATTTTAAATTTTTGTATTTGTTTAATACATGAATATTTGTTTCGGGTTTACATTCAAATACATTCAGTTATTTGATGGATATCTAGAGCTCATGTATTTTTTGTTGCCCTTTTATTATTTTTGTTTTAATTTTAAATTTCTATAAAAATTAGAGAAACGAATGTTTAGGAAAAATAAGTTATACCGGTAATTTTGTATGAGTTATTTTGTATGAGTTATCGTTTGATCTTTTATTTCATTTAACGAGAGATTTGTTTATCTGTTTTGTGTAACCATTCGTTTGTCAGTCAATTGTCTTGTCTTACAATTCAAATAGATTTTTCACTTCAAATAATTCAACATTTTTCGGATCCCTAAACATTTTATTTGTCTTTTTTGCTGTATTTTTCAAAATCCGATAAAACAGTGTATCGTTTCTTTACACAACAAAACGAAATATAACGTTAATTTGAGAAACACGCTTTTAAGTATGTAAATAAACATACAATTACAATAACAGGCCCTAAAACACCAGTGTGTAATTCACGTATTAATAACTATTATATACCCTTTTAATAATTTAAAGTTTATATTACAATATTTAATATTAAGTTTTTAGGTTTATGTGTTTGAGACACTGTTTATCAGGAATGAAATAAAATGAATTGGTAATGAAATTACATTTAACCAATTGACTGGTTTCAAAAGTGATTTAGAAATTTAAATTTTCAAACTTTAATAACATTTCAAACATTATCTGACATTTTGGCTGAAAAGCGGCATTTTTTGGTGAATCCATTACAAGAGAGTTAGACATGAGTTGTGTTTGGAGTGAACGCATGGTTTCCAATGATTTACATTTATATGACTTATAACTTATAAACTGACGATAAACTTGATAACTGATTAACCATTAAATCCATTTTTATTGCAATGCAATCGAAAACATTTATTTTTAGATACAATTGGAAAACCTGTTGATTTTTAAATGGGCTTTAAATTGAATGTGAATTAAGACATTGACTTTTGGTGTGTCTATCAAACACTACTGCCATTTGATCCGTTCATATATACATCACTGTCTAATCTAATTGTTATTATATTTAAAATATAATATAATTTTCATTTTATTAGGGATTCGCAACTCAATTCTCTTATCAATTATTATGTGTTTTATTATTAGGTCTAACGCTTAAAAAAGAGGTTTTTATACCATAGTATACTGTAAATGTATAAATATATATATCCATTGGCTTTAGTTTTTATTATCATAACATAAATACTATATTTTTAACTCACTTTTCAAGTTTGCCTCTTTCTGGACCTCAATTTGAAGTTCACTATAAATTATATTTTTTAGTCCGTAAATAATTCAAATTCATATTGCATTATATTTAGACTTATTTAACAGGTATATTTATTGAACGCAAAACACAAGTGTGTTTGTTTGCATACATTTCATACATTTATTATTTAAACCCCAATTCGTTGGTCACGAATGTCTAGTATTTTCTAATTTTAACACTTTTTCAAAAAGTTTTGCCCAAATTTAATATCATGTAAAATATATTCTACTTTTCGCACGAATTTCTCCATTTATTTCGTAAAAATTAATTTTCTCTTTATTTTTATTCAATTTTAAATCAAATTTTTTCGACTTTTTATTATTGATTGTATTTTTCACAATGAGTTAAATATCTTCTCACAAAAAATTATTCATACAATCCTATAATAAATGATTTAACGCTTTAATGGTTTACTTCATTATATTTGGACACACTTTTTGCATACCAACTCACATACAGTACAATAGGAACCCTAACTGTGAATGTATATAGGATTTCATATCCAGTTTTAATCAATTATATTATGCGCTTATTTCCGAAACATTAGACTAAAATCAAATGCATTTTGAATGCCAACTGTATTTAATTCTTTGGAAAACTTATTTAATTTTGAATTTTTAATATCAATTGAATCATTGAATCACATGTAATGAAACGCTTGAATTGAAAAACTCAATGCAATGGCAAACCTACACAAGAAAATCGTAAGACTTATAGACTTATTATACAATAAGTTAGACTTGATTTGCAATACACTTATGAATTCATTTGCGAAGCTCTCAGCGATCTCTCAGACCTAGATTTCAAAAAGTTTTGCCCAAATTTAATATCATGTAAAATATATTCTACTTTTCGCACGAATTTCTCCATTTATTTCGTAAAAATTAATTTTCTCTTTATTTTTATTCAATTTTAAATCAAATTTTTTCAACTTTTTATTATTGATTGTATTTTTCACAATGAGTTAAATATCTTCTCACAAAAAATTATTCATACAATCCTATAATAAATGATTTAACGCTTTAATGGTTTACTTCATTATAGTTGGACACACTTTTTGCATACCAACTCACATACAGTACAATAGGAACCCTAACTGTGAATGAATATAGGATTTCATATCCAGTTTTAATCAATTATATTATGCGCTTATTTCCGAAACATTAGACTGAAATCAAATGCATTTTGAATGCCAACTGTATTTAATTCTTTGGAAAACTTATTTAATTTTGAATTTTTAATACCAATTGAATCATTGAATCACATGTAATGAAACGCTTGAATTGAAAAACTGTTACGTTACCGTTTGGATGTGTTCTTTTAGCATTCTGAATATCTGAATAATATGTTATTCAATCTGAACTAAACGTTATGTGAATACTTAAGTAAACGCTTCGAGAGTCGCTAGAGAGTCTGGATCTCTTGTGTTTCAGTTTTGGATTTGTTTGTAATTATAGTCTTTAAAGAAGTGATTATTCTTTTAAAAACTAATTTCTTGTTCCGTTCAGTCATTTTAATTTGACTTTAAAATAACTGATGCCTTCAAAGCATTTACAACTGTTGTTCAATTGCCGATCGTTTTTCAAAATGTTATTACATTTGCGATTGTTTTCAGATACTTGAGTCAATTTTCATGTGGTTTCCGTGCAATCAATGCAATCATTACTACTCTTTCTGTAAATGTCTTTTCCTTCAATTCTGGTGTCATTTATATGAATACATGTATTCGTCTGTCGTTTCAAACATTCCGTAATTAATTAATTACTTTTTCAATGAATTACTCATTTAGTCAAAAGAGTTTTAATAAAAGCAATATTTTGTCTCAAATTTATCTGTTTTGTTAGTTTATTGTTTCAAATAAAATATCATTTAAACGCTTTTGACTTTTGTGTTGAATTCTTTTGTCATGACTTATTTGACCTCAAGTTTCCAGTAATTGTGTTGACATTCAATCTAATGATGAAAAAATGATTTTTATTACTTTTTTCAAAGTCACCAAAAAATAAACTAATTTCTTGAATGCAATCCTATTATCCTTAATTGTCATCTATTTGTTTACGTGAGTCTTATGGCAGCATATGATAGAATAGGATAGGCTTCACTCTAATTATTATTTCAAGCATTTTTTGTCCAAACATTTTGTTTCCAACCGATGCACTCGATATGAGGTTTGTTTCAAAGAAATTGAATTTCTCTTGAATTAGGATTTATTTGATCTCATTATTGCTGTCATATATATGGCTTTGTCTGTTATTATTCCCGTATTGTAAACGTGTTTCCCTTCAATGCCCCCACTGTTTGTCCAAATGATGTTATTTTAGACTTATTTTCGAAACTAATGTTTTAATTTGCGATTAAAATGAAGCAAAAAGTGAATCAATTGTTTGTTTGTCTTTCACAGCCACACAACGGTTCGAGAGGCGTCCGGAAGGCACTTATCAGAGACTCAGAGGTATAGTATAGTCGGCCATCAGTTTGTGTCAACAGATTGTTCCCAAATAAGCCGCTTATCATTTGCTATTTGTTTTGTCACAAACAAAAGGTCAAGATTTGGACCTTCCGTGTGTTGTTCGGCATTTGCAGGGAGAATGTCTTTGGCTCAAGAACAATAAAGTCCAGACCAGTATTGCCAGCAAATACAAGTTTGATAGACAACCCTCTAATGGTATCATTTCAATCTCTAGTGTCAATACAATTTGAGAATTGTATTAAATTCTGTTTATTTATTATAACTTTCAGGCGATTGTTCCCTTCGTATCTTCAATTTGGACACAGCTCTAGATGAGGGCGAATGGCAGTGTCAGGTCACCCAACCATCACTCACTGTAATGGGTCTGAGCTCAGAGCCCGTCAAAGTGGTTGTTCTCGTGGCTCCCAGTCCCCCCTTCTTGCAGAAAGTGGTATGTTTTGAGTTGTTTATAATAAAAGTGTTTAATTACTACATGTATTATATTTCCCATAGGAATCAAATCGTCTGAATTTGTTGTCCGACAGAAGCAATGAAGTCGAGTGTATCTCTCAAAACGGAAATCCTGCGCCTCGTATGGAGTGGTATATTGACGGTGAAAATGTGACAACACATGTAAGCAAAGCTTATTTATGATATTTGATTGTCTTATTTATGGCAATATTTGGTTTTGTTTATCAGTCGCGAACTAACATCGATTCAGTCACTGGCGACTCCCCTAAAGTGACATCTGTTTTGAGTTATATCTTCAAACGAATGCATCGCAACTCGACGTTAAGCTGTCTATCCATCCATCAAACGGTGTCTCAAAACACTTCGGCCCGCATTAATGTGTTGTGTAAGTCATATTAAAATACCATTAAAGCAATTGAATCCAATGAATCTAATGATGTGAAACCCGTTTCAGACGCGCCACAAGTGACTGTCCCTCAGAAGATCTACACTATAAATGAAGGCAACAGTTTGCGTGTCGATTGTCTCGTCGACTCCAACCCTCCAACGAACGCCGTTTGGAAAGCTTTAGGTATTAACCCTTTGCCTAATATTGTGCGGTTTGAACGCTTGAATGGTTTGGTTTATTTATATATGAAATAATTGCTTCAAAACAGATCCGAACCATCAATTCCGGACTGAATACCGCTCCAACTCTCTGATCATTGATAGTGTGACTAAACGTATGGATAGAGCGGTGTTTGAGTGCAGCGCTCGCAACGAATACGGCGCCTCCAATGAGGAACAGATCACTTTAGATGTCTTATGTATGTGTTGTCACACTTTGTCTTGTTTTTCGTGTACTAATTGTCGATCCCTTTGAACCCACAGTCGAGCCGACACTTGTGAGCTCCTCAGACCCGCAACAGTCCGTTGAATTGGGAGAATCGCTTCGACTGTTTTGCAATTATGAGGGCAATCCCAGACCCAAAATCATGTGGTTTCACATCAATCCCATCACAGATCAGGTCCGAAATCGTCCCAATGATGAGAACAATGCCAACGAATTAGTCATTTCTAACGCCACTTATCACGACGAGGGTATAAACTAATGAATTCAATTTGTGCTTTCGTTTGGATGATGTCTAATATAAATATGACTCTCACTTCAGGTCATTATTATTGCGAAGCATTAAATCACAACAGAATTACAAACAAAGAGTTAATCGTCAGAAGCGCTAAAATAATTGTCGATATTATGGGCCGACCGGCGATCATCCAAAAGAAGAACACAGCGTATGGCTATAGTGGCAAAGACACTGATGTGGAGCAGGCCTTCTGCAGTGATCCCACGCCCTCACAGGTCTACTGGCAATACGGCTCTATGAGAGTCGATATCAAGTAATAATGCTTTTTATTGACTCATATGTTCCCTAATTGACTAGTGATTAACTAAATTGTCTTTAATAGAAATGATGGACAACACGATAGAAATCATTTGATTCCCGAGAATAATATTTCCAAATCGATGAGACATAAGGCCCGACCCCTGATCGCAATGGACAAACACAGCTCTTGGCCTAAACCCACCTGTTTTAAGGCTATCCTTTCCATTGCAAACACAGATCTTAGTGACGAAAGAGATTACACACTGTTTGTCGAGAATTCTAGAGGAGTCACACAGAGTATCATTAAATTAAAGGTAATTATTTGAGAAATAGTTGTTTATAATGAATATAATAATTGGATTATTAATGGCCCCAATGATCAGGTGAACTCTCCGGTCTCAGCGGCGATAATGATTACAATTGGATTAATAGTGTTAATAATGCTTTTGGCGTTAACTTTGGTAACGATGTTAGTAATAAAGCGCCGAAAACTGGCCAAAGAGAAGGCCGACGACGAGAGCAAAGCCGAGGCTCGAGGTATAGAACAACAAGATTTTAAAAGTTGAAGATTTTTTTCGCGTCATTTCCAAAGAATATCTCAAATTAAAAGCTATTCCCCGAAGACAAAGAAGATCTTAGTTTCCTTTTACTTGTATTAATTATTAATTAATTAATTGATTGCTCAGTAATTACTTAATAGTTTTAGTTTTTTTATTTAATTTTTTACGATAATTTATTTTGTGGTCATTTTTAACTCATTCCCGTGTTTTTTAATGAAAATATCAAAAATATTTGGAGAAATCTTAGTGCTTCTAATTCGCGAATCAAATCATTTGTTAAATAATCATTAAATTTGTATTTTTCCAGATATTACTTAAAATCAAATAAATTATTAATCATTAAAAGTCAGATTTAAATGTTAATTATTACTTCCAATACTCTTTTCATATTTCCAATGCAATCGATTGAATCCCGACAGCGATGTTGAGACACCGATATTATACTTAACTCTTTCCAAACTCTTTGACTATCATTTGCATGACTCATGTGAGGCTTTACTTCCGTATAAACTTTTATATAAATTACACTCAATTTTGTATATCAAACTTTTCACTCATTTATTGTCTCTACTGTTTAGCGCCCATCAAATCAGATACCGATAAACCCGAGAAAGAACCCGAAAAAGTGAGTCCAAAGTTATGGTTACCTTCAGACCAATTGGTTGTCTAATGAACTGATTGTTTGTTTGGAACTGTAGGGGAAGGTAGAGAATCACGAATTAGTTTACGCCAACTTAGACTTCGTAAAACCAGACACTAAGCCATCCAAAGCCAAACCTCAGGCCCAACAGCGCCAACACAAGACCAATGGCGGCAATTCGGGCACAGAATACGCACAAATCACTTTCACCAATAAGGCTGACCTCTGATCATCCAATTGATCCAATTGATCATCCAGGTGATTGCGATTTGTTTGGCAACAGTTTCATACAGTCTTAGATACAGAGTTCTATACAATACATATTTTTACCATATATTATGATACGAGTCGACTCTTTTGGTCAACTAGTGGTCGATTATCTCCTTCCGAACTGATGTGTCAATTGTGATAAAAGAGAGTATTTTTGCAATAATTCACACATACTTTGTATCACTTAATCGACAAAATGCTTAAACCATTCATCAATTCATTAAATCTGTCATCAAATATATTTTTCTTAACATAATTACCACATCCCTTGTCTCACAATTAACTCAAAGAATAACAGTCGGGACTCGAAGTGGGAACAGATTAATGCTTAAACTATTCATCAATTCATTAAATCTGTCATCAAATATATTTTTCTTAACATAATTACCACATCCCTTGTCTCACAATTAACTCAAAGAATAACAGTCGGGACTCGAAGTGGGAACAGATGTTCACTGATATAGTGGTCATTGCCTTCAAATCTTCGTTACGTTTAATCATTACTTTTATTCACGTTTTCCTATTTTATTGTATATTTATTACTCAAATTTCAATCATTAAATAAATATTTGTACCTTTAATTCATACCAAAAGTATTCAAATTATTTCGCTTTCCTATCATAAGTGCATTGTATTTCACTTAACATACAAACCCTTACAGAATATTCTGTTATTCAATACTTTTGTTTCAAAGGTTTTCAATTAAAAACAATGAATTTTGAACTAGTTCCAATAAACAAAGTTTAATGAAAATATATTTATATAACAATATTTGCTTTTATAAGACAAATAAAGATTATAATAAAATTAAAATTAAAAAAAACATTTGGAAACTGAAGTGAAAACCAATTTTGTTGAGTGAATGCAATGAAGTGATGATCCCTTGAGTCATGCAATCAATGAGTGAATCGTATGTTAAAGTGATTTAAAGTTATTGTAAACAAACACTCATTGAATCGCTTCTTATGGTCTGTCTGTGAGATATCACTCATCACTCACACAGACATCACTTCAATGGATCACAACTCGCACTCAACCGATGGACCCAATGGTGAGGTCAGTGGCGACGCTAAACCAGAAGACAAATCAGATGATCAAAATACGAGTCAATTGAATGCAAACAAAGAGACTAATGAGTGCCCAATGGATCCAATGGATGGCAAAGACAACACAAGCGATGCCATCGATGCCAACACAACGAGTGACACAAAGACTGTGAAACCATTGGACACAACGAAATCCAAACTCGTAGGACCTGTTGATACGAGTGATAAAGCTCTGTTATTTGGTGTTTTACACTGGAGTTTACTTCTGTGCTTACAGCTATTGTTACATTTACTGTTAGTTAACTTACCACTGTCGTCACTGAGGTGGCTGTTTAGGTAGCCTAAACTACTGCTGGAGGAAGAGGTATGTATTTTGCACTCAAGTAGCCATTGATTGACTCATTGTATGCAACGATAGGACAATCTGTTGAGTTATGATCCGACGCCCAACACATCCTATCCATCGATTAAATGGCATTCTTTACAACAATTACAACAACGAGAATACGGGAAACTAATGGTCAGTTCCGGTGTCTTAATGTCAAACTCATGTGTTAATGCATGCATTGATACGATGTCTACAATTTAGAGGCCGGGAAACAAGCGTCCAATGAATTCATATGAATCGCAAGCGTTTCGCAGATATGCTTACAATTCGTTGTATTTCTTCCAAAGACTTGAATTAATGGCCAAATTTGAAGAACACAACGGTTTGAGTGCTTTTCACTGCAATGGACTCCCTTTTCACTGATCATCTGTTTGTATGCATAGGTTGTGTGAATTGTCTCAATTTCAACAGTTCTGGTGACCGACTCATATCAGGCAGCGATGACCTGCGAGTGGCCATTTGGGACTGGCAGAAGTCTACACTCATTCATAAATACCATACCGGTCCGTATTATCGTAGTCACCAATTGTAGACACAGTCTCTACAGCTCTCTTGTCCACCACTTGCACCCACAGGTCACACATCCAATGTATTTCAGTGCAAGTTCTGCGCTGATGGACACCATATCGTGAGTTGTGCCCGCGATGGACAGGTCAGGATCTGCAATGTGCACCGGATTGGCAGCACTGTTGTGTCCAACAAACTGGTTCAGCATAAGGGCGCCGCACATAAGCTCTCTCTGACGGCACCGCAAGTCATACTGAGTTGTGGCGAAGACAGCGTTGTCTTTGAGATCGATCTCAGAGCAGACAAACCCACGAAACTATTGAATGTCAAGTAATTGTCCCCTCGTTTCCATTCATTCATACTATTACTACTAATTGATTAAATGGTCATTTTGTGGCTTAATTCATGTCATTATCCACTCATTTAGCAAAATTAGTCATAAAATGCAATTAGTCATAGCATATAAAATATGCTTTAAATGTGAGTCTCTGATTTATAAGTAATGTTTTAATTTGTTTTTAATTTATAAATTGCTTGAAACCATTAATATGTGGTCTCTTCATGGTAAGTAAGGAAATGGGTTTAACGTGTAGGGTTGGGCTATCACGAGATATGCAATACAAATGAATGAATGCATTGCTTTTAATTGTGCTTGACCTGTAAACTATTGGAATCCATATTAAATTATATTAATTGTGGATTTTTTACATTCTATGCTATTATTACTGCATTTAAGTCTATTGCGTGAGACATGCGGTAATAGAGTCTCGAAAATATTAAATTAAAAAAATTGGAAACTATTTTTAGCCCAATTTAATAAAAAAAATCTTGTTTTCACGAAATCTATTTTTACTACAAATAACAATAAACCGGTTTTCTATGAATTCAAACTAAATATATGATAGAATTTCTCGAATTATTTGGCATTAATTTTGGTTTCTTTTTATATTTTATTTTTTATTCATTCAATCAATTTTTTACAATAGAAATATTTCTCGAGAACTAGTTTTTTATTTACCCAATAATTTATGTGCAAAAATGTTTGTATCGATTTTCAATTAACTCTATGTTTATGAATTGATTTATAGGAATGCCAATCAACAGAGAGTACCCCTGTATTCGGTCCATTCAAATATGGTGTTCAATCCGTTGCAGTTTGCGGTGTCGGGTAGGGATCCCTTTGTTCGCGTATACGACCGAAGATTTCTTGTAATTAGTTTTGAAGTTATTTTTAATGTCAACAATTATCATCTGTTTTTAATGTGTTTATATTGAATGGCAGCCAAATAGTGAAGCGAATGGAACTGTAGCTCCAGTGCTTAGCATATGTCCCGAGAAGTTGAAGCAAAGCAAGCATTCGGTCACTTGTTGTCAGTATAGCTCAACGGCAGACAAACTGTTGGCCACTTATAATGACGAAGACATCTATACTTTTGACGCTAAAACTGGTTTATCTGAGACCCGATACAGTGGACATAGAAATAACGCTACCGTTAAGGGATGCGCCTGGTTTGGGGACCAGTATATTGTCAGTGGCAGTGATGATGGGTATGGGTGTGATTGACTGGTTTGACACAATTATTGATTGACTCATTCACTCATCAGATATGTCTACGGATGGGACTCACAGTCGCAACACATCGTTATGTCTCTATACGCCGATGAGAATGGAGTTGTAAGACATGATTGCAATTGTTTTAAAATGAACGAAACATTAAAATTTGAAATTAATTAATAATGGGCTCTGAATGTAAGCAATGTTTGCCTCACAGAATATGTGCTCTCAAGCCTTAAAAGTGTGCATTTGTTGGCATAAACGACAGGAATTGGTTGAAATCATACAAATCCATGCAATCAATCTCTGCCATATCTGATAGAAAAATGAATGCCTCCTAAAGGGATTTCAAATACTTTTTGTTTGAAGATTTTCAGTCATTTCCACGTACATTTATAACAGCAATATTATTATTCATTTGTAAATATTTAAAACTTGAATGAAATCAAACTTAAAACTAATGATTGCTGTAATATTCGCCAAATAACGATAACATTTGATTAATGTTGAGTTTTGCCAACACATGTATTGAATAAAGTTATACTTCTTATTGTGTTTTTTGTTTAAATGGATTGAAATGAAAGCTACAGAGAATTGAATTTTCTTCAGCAATTGCTTAACAGCTTATTTCAGTTCATTTCTTCTTTACTTTTATTTTGATAACAAAATAGTTTAAGGATTTGACTGAACTGAACGAATTCATATATTTTATTTGTCTCAAATCTATCCTAAAATAAATAAATCGTTTAATTTTTCAATTCGCAAAGGATTCAACTTTGTTATTTTGCAAATTTATTAAATTTGTTTTTTAGATTACATTTTATATTAAGATATTCTCTGAAAAAAATATTCGTAACTCTATTAAAGTGAACGCTTTTAAGACTGATTTAAGCCAATCATTAGTATGTACTCAAGAAAATGATTTTAGTGTTAGATTAGAGAATAGAGATTTAAAATAAAAATTAATGATAAGTTAATGTTTTATATGGGATACACATTAAACAAATGACTGAAAATGTGTTCATTTAATAGTTGATGATTTGATGGTTTTGGCTAACGTTTAGCGCTTCGTATAGATTATTTGATTGAATGCATAGTCAGACTTAGAGTATAGTATAGTATAGATTGTATTGAATGGTATTCTCTGTATTCGGTGTGCATTTGTTGGGTGTCTTCCATCTAAATCATGTTTGAAAGGGACAGACAGACTGCACGCACCCTAATGTCAGGTTAAAGCCTTTTCTCATTTCACTACAAAACCATTTCCAATAACACAATACAGAGTTTGTCCTCTTTTTGTGATACAATCACTAAACCATTTTAGTTCCTCTGCCGACGCTATAGATTACAATCGGATTTTCTTCCTGTTCTGTAACGACAGCCCATAATATATGAGAAATGATGGAAATTCTTAATATTGATATACAGTATCAATAAATATCTTATCATAACTATAATAATGCAATTGAAGAATAGGTATACAACGTATTTGAATGTCATATTCATTATCCATATCTCCGTATATAATACACTCTGTAATACCATTAGAGTATGTCCTCCACTATAAGACCCGGTTATCTGTACTCTTATTAACGCATTTATATATCTTCGGGCTTTCGCTGGGAATCACTATTACTGAGACTGAGTGCCAAATATTTTGCTTCAAATTGTGTTTAGCTATGACTCATAGTTAGCTCTAATATACTTTCCCCGTATATTATTCCGTATACTTTCTCCATAGGAAACACTGTTTTCTGTTTAATTTAAAGCTCAGTTGGGATAACAGAGGCGTCAATAGAGTAGTTCGTAATGTTTTACTGCAAACCAGGGATGCTATCGACGAGTCGATACAAAATTCAAGTAAATTTTAGCCTTTTTTGCATTCACTGTGTTCTGCACTTTGTTTTGCAGACATTTATCCGCCATTCAGTCATATGAGAGGGATTGCTCTGCTCTTAGCCTTCACTTCGTTATAACTGTATCTCTGTTTTCTAGCAAATCAATGAAAATATACTTTATTATAGAAATTCTCTCTTTTTATATTTTATGATAAAATCATATATTTTCTAAAATAAAGTAATCATTACTTAGAGCTTAACCTAAACATAACAATGGATTAAAATACAGATAAATGAATGCCTTCTCCATTAGTTATCTTCAAATTGAATTTTCCTCCAAAGTATGAGTCATCGCAAGAATGCTTGAGTTGTAGTCGAGAATATGGAGTACAGTATTGTATGGACTCAGAGCTGTATTGTATTTAAGAGTTTTTGGGTCACGTTATGGCTCACAATCGACACCAATATTTTGTGCATCTATTTATCAAATTCCGATGCATTGAGACTTAAATAATAGTCCAAATTCTCGCATTTCGGTGTTGACACCGACACGAGCGCCAGCATCACCACTATTGTGGCATAGATGTGATCCCTTAAAATACCATTAGTAGTATCGGTGCTGTAGGGATCAAACCATAGAATAATCCAAAGTTAACTTACATTCTAGGAATTCAATGCATTATACAGTGTAGGCATCCGTCATACGTACCCAACATCCCTTCCCAAACCCAATCCCCTCTGTTTATGATAAAATCATATATTTTCTAAAATAAAGTAATCATTACTTAGAGCTTAACCTAAACATAACAATGGATTAAAATACAGATAAATGAATGCCTTCTCCATTAGTTATCTTCAAATTGAATTTTTCTCCAAAGTATGAGTCATCGCAAGAATGCTTGAGTTGTAGTCGAGAATATGGAGTACAGTATTGTATGGACTCAGAGCTGTATTGTATTAAAGAGTTTTTGGGTCACAATCGACACCAATATTTTGTGCATCTATTTATCAAATTCCGATGCATTGAGACTTAAATAATAGTCCAAATTCTCGCATTTCACTGTTGACACCGACACGAGCGCCAGCATCACCACTATTGTGGCATAGATGTGATCCCTTAAAATACCATTAGTAGTGCCGGTGCTGTAGGGATCAAACCATAGAATAATCCAAAGTTAACTTACATTCTAGGAATTCAATGCATTATACAGTGTAGGCATCCGTCATACGTACCCAACATCCCTTCCCAAACCCAATCCCCTCTGNTTGACACCGACACGAGCGCCAGCATCACCACTATTGTGGCATAGATGTGATCCCTTAAAATACCATTAGTAGTATCGGTGCTGTAGGGATCAAACCATAGAATAATCCAAAGTTAACTTACATTCTAGGAATTCAATGCATTATACAGTGTAGGCATCCGTCATACGTACCCAACATCCCTTCCCAAACCCAATCCCCTCTGAATTTGATGCAATAATGACTATATGAGTGCCGTAGTGATGGCAGCCCTCCCTTCTCCTCAAACCGTATTCCTCTTCCTTTGCTTTTACTTTATTTTCATTTGTGATTTCGTTTTGAAGAGCGATTCAAATCCCCGCTTATGTGTCAGTCATCGCTGTATTCAATGCATTGCATAACATCTAAACGTAGATATTATTACTTATTTCTATGAGATTTCAGATCACCTCCTATTCTAAGTATATGTTTGAATGCTTTTCAATTATAAAGTACTTTAAATTTCTTCATGAACTGGCATTTGATTTGCAGACAAATCTTGAAATTCACACGAAATTCAATATAAAGTGATTAGAATTTAAAGCCTTTTTCTAACAATTGTGTCAACATTTGAATAAATAAATAAATAGAGATCTGGAAAAATAAATTAAAAATGTATAACTCTTTTCCACGTTTGCTAAGATTTAAACTCCACGATCGATTGCCCTGATCCTATTGTCGTTGAGTTTCTCTTTTGAAATAAATAAATAAATAAAAACGAGAAAAACGAGTGGAAATGAAATGAGATATCAGTTTAAATGTGAGGCTTCTGTCAGTGATTGTGTCCATTAGTTAGCATTGCTTATCATTATTATACATACAGTAACTTATTAGCGGAGGCGCTGTCGTGAAAATCCTGAGATCAAGGTTTTAAGGCATCGTATTTATTTTCATTTGTGATTTCGTTTTGAAGAGCGATTCAAATCCCCGCTTATGTGTCAGTCATCGCTGTATTCAATGCATTGCATAACATCTAAACGTAGATATTATTACTTATTTCTATGAGATTTCATATCACCTCCTATTCTAAGTATATGTTTGAATGCTTTTCAATTATAAAGTACTTTAAATTTCTTCATGAACTGGCATTTGATTTGCAGACAAATCTTGAAATTCACACGAAATTCAAACGCTATTCGATATAAAGTGATTAGAATTTAAAGCCTTTTTCTAACAATTGTGTCAACATTTGAATAAATAAATAAATAGAGATCTGGAAAAATAAATTAAAAATATATAACTCTTTTCAACGTATGCTAAGATTTAAACTCCACGATCGATTGCCCTGATCCTATTGTCGTTGAGTTTCTCTTTTCAAATAAATAAATAAATAAAAACTAGAAAAACGAGTGGAAATGAAATGAGATATAAGTTTCAATGTGAGGCTTCTGTCAGTGATTGTGTCCATTAGTTAGCATTGCTTATCATTATTATACATACAGTAACTTATTAGCGGAGGCGCTGTCGTGAAAATCCTGAGATCAAGGTTTTAAGGCATCGTATAAATGGTTTGGATTAAAGAATAGATTGAGTTTCTTTGGATCAGTTGTTTATCTCTATGGCATGCAGTCTGTGCTAATACACTCTCCCTTTCATGTGATATTTTAGTCCAATTTTCAATTAATTCATTTTCATTTTGAGTCTAATTTCCACAAAAGACTGCATTCAAACTCATTCTTGTGATGAATGTTAGCATTGAATTAGTTTTGTCGCTAACGGTTACTACTGTATAGTGCTTATAGTGTACTCCATTTGAATACATTAAGCATTAGATATGTAATGCTATTATGATTTGTGATATACTATTATAAAGTTACAGAATATAACATAATATTAAATAAAATTATACGATTTGACACAAAACTGTCCCTAAATAATAAGAATTACAATAATAAAAGCGAATTCAAGTTCAGATATGATCATGAATTTGTTGTGAACTTTGCAAGTGATGGGAAAGTATGGCAAAGTATGGGAAAGTATGGGAAAGTATGGCAAAGTATGGCAAAGTATGGCAAAGTATGGCAAAGTAGATCCTTCTCTGACTACTGGTTTGAGCTATGATTACATGCATTTGAAAGGATAGATAGAGTGGATCGTCATTTGGCACATACGGTAGATCTAGACCTACTGTATATCATATCACACTTTACTGTTGTGTACTATCAATGACATACAGTTTGGTCTCATTGACCAAATCATC